GAGCCATTTTTGTCTTTGAATACAGATGTGGAGGGCTTTTTGTGCAAAGCATGGTCGGTCTTGTGGCGGTGGGTAAGTTTGTTGATTAATGCGCGCTCTGAAAGCACGCTCTGGCACACCTCTGAACGCAAACAGCCCTAAACCTTAGAACCCTAACCCCTAAACCCTCAACCCTAAACCCTAAGGGTCCTAAACCCAAAGCCCATGAACCCCCACAGGTCTTGATTGCGGAGGCAAAGCTGCGGGAATCGTAGATGCGAGCGAAAAAAAAACGGAGACCGATCGAGAACGGCCTGACCTTTTAGGGATAATACAGGGGCCTTGAGAGTTATCTATACTATTTTGGGGGTTCCTTCTTATAGTTGTAGTAAAATCCACCCCCCAAAACCCCATTCTAACTACTAATTATAGTAAATCGACCCCAAAACCCCATTCTAATTACTAAGGCTTCTACATTCTTGGCGGGGTATCGGGCCTTGTCGGGTCTTAGGGTTCGGGGGTGAGATGCGCTTTGGGCTGTCTTCCATGGGTTTCGTTGTTGGTAGGGCTTAGGGGCGTAGTAGTTAGTAGGGCTTGGAGGTTTCATCAGTGGGTTTAGGGTTTAGGGTTTAGGGTTCAGGGAAACCCTTAACTCTGAACCTGTGCGCCGACATGAGCAGGGTCTGTCGCATCTTGCGTGAGGCTCTCGCTGAAGTCTATGTAGTCTATGTATGCCATGCCGGTTCGAGTGCAGAAGCTCAAATATGCAGCACGCACTGCCGCAAGAGTGTTTCCTACTCTCTCTGCGGAGATGATGCCGTTGCTGTTTGTTGTTCCGTCTTCTTCCTGTTGCTTGATGCCACCGTCTCCTTCTGGATTTCTGCGACGTTTGGGACGGGAGGAGTTGTGCGGCCCCGCCCGCTGTTCGAAGCTCGCCGCATCAGGTGACTCAAGCGGTCTTGGCAGTACCAAGCACGTTTGGTTCAGTGTCTTTGCCTACCGGTTCTATCTGGAGCCCCGCGCTGACAGTATGTCAAGTGCGACGTTGCATTCTGATGTCCTCAGTACAGCTTGATGGCGCGTCGCCACAAGTCTGCCTACAGCCAAAATCGCCTTGGTGGAGGGTGGACCGAAGACCCAGAGCGCAAGATTTTGTTAGGCCAAGTTGGCGGGGCATGGTCTTAGAGTCGTATTGCTCTATGCAGGCGCAGTTTGGATGTTGCTTGCTGCACATATCCCTGGAGCACTCGGAGGTGGTGCTCTGCGAGAGCTGTAAAACAACGAGCCACCCTGCTCCGGTGTGGGCGTAGACGGGCTCTTCGGCCGCCCACGGCATGGATGACGAAACATGCGCAGTGCACTTGCAATAGTTGCCGCCAGCAGTGCTCCTGTGGTGAAGGTTTGGGTATGCCTAGCTACTACGCAGGCTATGGGGATATAGAATAACACTGACCCCACCTGAATGCCCGAGATTGCAACAAGCGCGCAGGTGAGGTCAGTGTGGGGTCCTAGGCCCTTGCCAGAACATGCCTCAGAGAGCGTGGCTTCTTTGTTTGATGCCTTTTCGGTTCGTGCTCCGAGACCATAAACCGGCATCTACCATGCAGCTCCTGGACATGGAATATTCGAGAACCCCAAAACTCGAACCGGAGCCCTCAAGCCGCACAGCAAAGCTGACAAGAAACTCAAGAGCTCCATCTGTGGTACTGTTTTTTGTTTCTTCTCCTACGGCCCATGGAAGTGTAAGAGGGTTTGGGATCGTCGGGGCTTCTAGGCACCAGGTCTTGAGGGTTTTCGGAGGCTCAGAGCTTTAGGATGAGAGGCTGAGGACCTGGGACTTTGGGGTTTTAGAGTAGTTTAGGTCTCACGGTTTAGGGTTTAGGGTTTACTTTGGCACTTTTAGGTGGGTAGAATCAGAGCCATGGGGGCGCCGTCACCTAGCGAAGCCTCGGACGCAGGGAGGCGAGCTTCGGACACGCCGGGGGGCGAGGTTCTCCTTTTGCTGTTTTATGGGGTTCATGAGTGATCAGCACTCCCTGCATATTAGTTGTTCTTGTAGTACCAACTTCTAAAAGTTCAAACCCTAAATCCTCAGCTCCCCAAGTTTTATTATGTAGGGGCGTCAATAATTACCTATACTATTTTGGGGATTCCTTATTATAACTTCAGTATAATATACCCCAAAACCCTATTCTGTTTATAAGGGCCCCTACATTACTTGTCGGAGGTGTTCGTCCCAGATATTACACCCGAAGCGCGTCAGGCCTCGATCAGACAGCCGCTCAGATGGGACCGTCAGCCCTCAATGGCAAAGTGCGCAGAGCCACACGCCCCATTGCGTTTAGGGTTCTAGGGTCAGGGTTTAGGGCCGTTTAAGGTGTAATTAGGGTTTGGGGAAAGCTTTGTTCTTGGGGCTCTGGGGTTTTCGGGTTCATGGCGATGCTAGGCTCTACCGCACAATGTAGCTTTAGGCCGTTTATAACTCTTTGCTTCGTTTGCTGCCTGTGAGTGTTGTTGCTTGCCATTTGACTTTGCATTTTAGTCTGACATCTTTCGCGGCATTTGTCAGGTTTTTTGAACACGTAAGGTTGCGGACTCATAATGCCAGTTGCATGCTACCAGCACTACAAGGATGTAGGCGTCCCAGGCCAGTTCATGCGGCGGAGGGGGGGGTGGGGTTTTGGGTTGAACGACTAGTTGCACTGATTTGAGGCAGAATTGTCGGGACAAGGGGAAGGTTCCCTCGGGCAAAGGAGGATTAATATGGGGGTCGGAATATTTGCCAATAGCATCTATTTATCGCCCCTGTTATGATTAAAGTACGTGTCAAAACCCTTTTGCTCTAATTACTAAGCCCCAGAAGTCCGTTCTATCTCGTCCGTAAACGAAGTGATGAACCTGTTGTTGACCCGATTATGTTTATGATTATGTAAATCTTCACCAAAACCACTTCCAACCCTAAACCCTAAATCTCAAACCCCAAACCCTAAACCCTAACTCTTGCGGCCGCCGTATTTCACACCCAAGCAAGGCAATACTAGCGACAAGAACATCGAGCGTACCAACTCCACACGCCCGCGAACTCAGAGAGACTGGGCCGCATATCAGGCAGCCTCCTTGGTCGTACGGGTTTCATATATAGGGGCATAATGTTTGGGGATATAATCTGCTGTAATTTAGCACCAAAAACCACGAAGAACGCTATTACTAATGATTCAGGCTTCTGTATGACGGTTCCGGGTGTAGGATTTAGGCGGGCTAGGAACTTGGCTGTGAAGTGTTGTGGAGATGGAAGAAGTCTGTACAGTCCCCAGAGACTCCAAAACCCTTTAATTATGGAATACCTTCAATCTTGTCAGGGTTCCTGTTATAATTTAGGGTATATTCCTTCATGAAAGAGTTTTGGAGTCTGTGGGTCTGAGCATTTTGTTGAGGTTTGCATGCGAGTACTGCTATGGCATCGTTGTCAGAGAGTATCATCGTCCTGTCATCGATGACGAATTGTGCCAAGCTTCGCATTGCTGTTGCAGTCCGGTGGACGTTAAGTATGACACTGGTGTTGCTTCTGCGACAAGTCTGCGTGCATATGCTCGGAACAGTGTGTGCGCGAAGGATGCCACTGGAAATTCCTGCTGTGGCAGAGGATGACCAGGGCCATGATGACGGTGATGATGATGATGATGATGGTTGTTTTCTGGCCATTCTTGTAGGACCTGTCTAGTGAGTTCTGATACCCCAAGCCCTGAACCCTGAACCCTGACGGGAATGCATGGTTCAGGCTTCGAACCTGGCGGGGGCTGGAGGGCGAAAATTTCAAGCCGAAGCCTTCAAACCCAACTTTTGAGCCCGAAGCTACATTCAGCTACATACTATGATATTATGGACTTTCTCTTTATACTACATATATATATATATATACACGCACACACTCTCTCTCTCTCTGTTTTTGCATGTATACATTATACACTACACTATCCATATCTCATACAGAAGCCGGGGTTTACTGGTTTCCTCTTCGGGATCCTACGGTTGATGATAAAACTCCTGCATTAGCCACAATAAGGAAGAAACCATAATTCCCATAGTTTAGGCTCCTTAAGGTCTTGCAGGATTCATAAACTAAACCTTAAACCTCAACCCAAAACACCAAAACCCTTATATCATGATTCATAAACATAACCTTCAACCCTCAACCCTAAACACCAAAACCCTTATATCATCAACAGTACCAATCTAGGTGCCCGGATGGTCGGCGACTTTATCCGGGCTGGCTCTCAGGAGGCATGCGGGGCAAACGGGATTTGGGGCTTGGGTCTAGGGTTTTAGCGTTTGGGTTTACGGTTGAGGTTTCAGTTACAAGTTTAGACGTTGGGGTTTAGGGCTTTAGGGTTTTTTGTCCGAGGGCATTTTGGAAAGTGGAGTCCCTTTGGTGTACAAATCCTGTACAAACACGGCAAGAAACACAATTAGCAATAGCAGTATTGTACTTTATCGCCCTCACATAGCTATGCCTATATAAGATCCCACCCCCTACGCAAGTTCTTTAGTCCGCCAAAATGACTTAACGAAGCCCTCAGGTTGGGTCGACCCGACCCGCTCTTCTAGCCTCGCATGCCCGAAGCTCGGGGTCGTAAGCCTGGAGCGCTCCTGTAAGGGTTACCATACGTACGGGTTGCTCTGAGGCCTTAACCCTAAACCTCACAGGTGTTTACGAGAGTCCATTGGGGTTGTCTTGAGGTCCTGCTCATTGACCTGAGGTGCCTGGATACGGGGGTCGGAATAGCTCGTCATAGTGGAGAAGGTCTTCGGTAGCCATGGGCCTGCACGAAAGTTCAGGTCTGCTCTTGAAGAGGAAGCGGACTCAGCTGACGAAACCCTAAGCCCTAAACCCTAAGCTGACTAAACCAAAAGCCGTAGCAAACGGGACTGGGGAGTCTCGGAGAGGTCCTTGCATGTCCGTGAATCGGCTGTTCAGAGGCTCAGGGCGACGAGTCCGAGTCCCACAGCGCCGGCGCGCCGCCATGCCCCCGCAGTCCCAAGTAACATATCTCTATGATCTGACCGAAGTTCCTGCCGGCTGGCCGCTGGAGACCGTCATCGACACCTTCGTCCACTTGGCTGCCTATACAAACCATGGTCGAGCAGATCGAGCTCGTGACGCGGTGAGCCGCCGGCTGGTGGAGCTCTGGGCCTCACGGCCGGAGGAGGCGCAGGCCTGGCTTATGAAGTGGGAGCGCTTTGCGAAGGGACAGCTCAGCCAGGCGCTGCTCCGGCACGGGGCGGCTGAGCGGGGCAAGTACGGGAAGACCACGTGGCGCTTCTCGGAGGCGGGGCTGCTTCGAGGAGAGCCGGGTGACTCAGCGGAGGAGCACGAGCACCATGCGGCTTGGTACCTGCAGCAGCCCCACATTCACGCTCGCTGCCGGGAGCTTGCGGAGCGGCTCGAGGCGGCAGACGGCCCGGAGATGAATAGCAAGCGGCAGAAGCTCGAGGAGGAGACTTCCTTGCGCCGTCGCCTTGAAGCGGAGCTCCAAAAGTCGCAGGAGGAGGGCCGACAGGTCAGCAATCGCCTGGCTGCGGCTGAGGTGCAGGTGTCCAGCAAGGCCACGGAGCTGCAAGCTGCGCAGAGTGAGAGCGCCAAGTGCAAGGAGCAATGTGAAGAGCTCGCAAACCGCACCGCAGCTGCAGAGTCCGCGGCGGCGGAGATGCGGCAGCAGCTCCGGCAGTTGCAAGAAAAGCATAGCAAGTGCCAGGAGCGCTGCGAGGAGCTCTTGGCCCGTTTGGAGGCAGAAGCAGTTGAGCATGCCAGCTCACAGGAGCGTCTCTCGCAAGCCGAGTCCGATGCTGCCGGAAAGGAGGTGGAGCTCCGGCGGCTGCAGGAGGAGAGCCGTGGGTTTCGGGAGCGCTGCCAGCTCGCGGAGGCGCGCTTCGCTGAGGCCGGGAGCCAGGCCGAGCTGCAGCTCGAGAACGCAGTGCTCCAGAAGCAGCTGGAAAAGGCAGAGGCTGAGAGAGCGGGGATGCTCGGGCAGCTTCTAGACGTGCGGGAAGAGAGGGGCATGTACAAGGAGCGCATCCGTCAGCTCGAGCACCAGCTTTGTGCAAAGAAACAAGTGCAAGGGTCCCATCAGTTGAGCGGCGCCAGGTCTGGTCACACCCTGCATTGCGAAGCTCCCGTCGACGAAGCCTCCAACAACCAGGAACCGGATCTTGCCGAGCAGCTGGGGGACGACGATGGCACAGCCTCTTCGGTCTTGAGCCACTCCTCCTGGTTCTCTTTGAAGCCGGACTCCATGAAACCCCAGTGCTTCATGGTCGATGCCATCTTCAAGACGCGCAGCTTCGGGGCGGACTTCTTCTTGATGGGGCGAGACCTCAAGAAAGGGTCGCAGGTGGTGGCCGGAGATGATGCAGCTATCCTGGAGGTGGCCAAGAAGCCGGAGATCTGCGACGCCAGCGAGGTCGTGGAGTTGCAGGCCGGCATTGCAACTTTGCGGGTGACTCCGGACCACTTGGTGCAGGTCGCCGATGCGAAGGGCGAGGTGGAAGAGAGCCTCTACGTTGAGGCTGGCAAGCTGAAGGCCGGCGACCTGGTGATGCTCGACTCAGGCGAGGGGTCCGTTTTTTTTGTTTTTTTCAAATTTTGGCCAAGGGTTTGGGTTGTTGAAAGGTTGGCTATGCCCTTGGTAAAAGGCGACGCGGCGGCCCTTACCAGCGTCACCATTCGGCCGCTGGCCTGCCAGGTGATGAAGATCGTCTTTGAGCCCTACCTGCCCGTGGCGGTCTTTTCCCGTCCGACGGAGGCACGGAGGTCCCTCTGATGCTAGCATGGATGGCAAAGCCTCCGTCCCGATCACGGCCGGTGAGTACACGGACTAGGCTTCTCAGATGTACAGATGGGCCCCCGGCACGTGTATTGCTTGTAGAGTGTTGTACCCCGTAATGCCGTTGAAGGTTAAATTCACGGACTCTGGCGATGTGCGGTCGAGGGGGTCAGCGCACGGCTGTCACGGCATGCCTGTGCCGGATGCTTCTTGGCTTGTCGCCGGAGTCGCTCGGGTGCAGTGCACGCGGCCCCCACTTTACATGGTGAGCATACATTTGTTGTGTTGCTGAGGCGTGCAGAAGAGCGGCTATGTATAGCAGCACCAAGCATGCAATGTTTAGTGGGGGATGCAGTGCTTGCAGAAGAGCTTGTGGCATTTGAATCCTGGCCGGCACGGCTCGGCCTTAGTTTTGAGTACACCTGCGCAGAAGATTGCAGGTTGGAGTGCATCCACCAATGTCTAAGATCCGCCATGCTTGTCGCACAAGAAGAAAGGCCTTTGGGATGGAGTTGATCTCGCCCTGTCAGCACGGGAAGTCTGGGGCATCGTGGCCGGAGGAGTCGTAGACTCGGAGGATCGAACCGTCTTGGACTCAGGTGTCCGAAGGTCATTTTGTGAAGGCGGGGTTGGCAGGAAGTAGGTTCACGGTTTAGAGTTTAGGGCTAGGGTTTAGGCTTTAGAGTTTAGGCTTTAGAGTTTAGGGTTTAGAGTTTAAGCTTTAGGGTTTAGGGTTTAGGGTTTAGAGTTTAGGGTTTAGGGTTTAGAATTTAGGGTTTAGGGTTTAGGTTTACAGGCTCCTCCTCACACCAGACCGAGAGCCCGGGAGTATGTCACTACAACCAGCCTTGCTAACTGAATAACAGGCTTTGGTTTAGGGTTTAGGGTTTAGGGTTTAGGGTTTAGGGTACGAGTTACTAACTGAATAAGACGAGACAGGATGAGCTCAACGTGGTCATGATAATGCAACACAGCCCGTGATGACACGAGGCAGTCCAATGCAACAGCTGCAAGACTAGTTAAAGTAAGGGGTTTTACTAGAATAGTATGGTATGGTGCATTATGATAAGATGTGGCGTACATAATTTATGAATGATTTAGGAAATACAGGAAAAACCCTGTTCTAATCATGGAGGCCCCGATATCATATTCTACTGTGCCCTGCAATGCCTTGAGCACTCAGCCCACCTCGCCTTCCCTCCAGTTGTCGCGAGAGATCGGCTACGTGGAGGTTGCCGGGGTGGTTCAAGCGTAGCTGCGTAGCTTTGGGAATCCTAGCCATAGGTCTGCATCGGCATGTTTCTTTTGGTCCAGTGCTGTAGCGACGTTGTTTTGGGGTGGTCTTAGGTTTTCGAACCGAGTGGAAATACAGTTCAGTTGTACCCATCTGCGCGAAACTCGACGTTCTTGGTCGGCGATTCTTGCAGGATCGTCGTAAGAACATCCAGAGTCCCCAACCCCGAACGCCAAACCCAAACCCTAAACCCGCACTTCCAGCATTCAGATGAACTCCTAGACGCTAGCGCCTTGATCAGTGCTTGGGATTTGATTTAGAATCCAGGTATAAAGATGGTAGCCAATCGAAAGTCGACTTCGTTGAGGGTTCAGGGTTTCGGGCTGTTTGCACTTGGGATTTAGGTTCGGGCTGTAGGGTATGAGGTTTAGGTTTTCCTGTTTATAGCCGGAAATTCCGAGAGAGGGTTTCCTTCCCGGTGACTTTGGTACAGCGAGTTTAACAGAAAACAAAAGAAGACCTTGCCGGCAGCCTAGACCCCAAACCCTAAACCCGAAGCCTAAACCCTAACCTGCCTTTCAAGCGGCAAGAGCAGGGGAGGCTGACACGTCTGATGAGCAGTGCCTTGCCTGATTTGGGTTTGGCTACTATAGGGGCCATAATAGCTACCTAAACGGGGTTCCTCATTATAATTATAGTAGACTATACACCAAACCCTATTCTAACTATTAAGGCTCCTACATTAGTTTCGGGTTCAGGCGTTGAGGTTTATGGCCTCAGGTTTAGGACGGAGACATCCCCATGTTTGAGAGCTGAAGGAGCTCACGACAATCGGGCTTCCTGACGAGAGTCCGGCAGATAGTTGGAAGCGTCTGAAGAGTGATGTAGGAGCCTAAATACTTGCCTATACCATTCTGAGGTTTCTTATTATGGTTATAGTATAATGGGCCCCAAGACCCTATTCTAATTATTAACGCCCCTACATTGTCCCATTGCAGCTATCAACATCGCCACATACGGAGCAGTGTTGCCAGTACAGCCGGGTAGGTGGTGAAGTGCAAGAGTCCAAGGTCTGTTATGTTGAACGTTGCAATTACGTCGTAACCGAATACATCTGTGGAAGCACTTGACTGTGTGTTTCCCTGCGGCAAGGTCGTGCGCAGAAATGTTGCGTGCATCTTTTGGATCATGCTATCTAAAGCTGCCAGGTCGGGATGAAGTTGTAACATATCCTGCATGTCTGCTGCAGAACCACCAATAACGAGTTTTTGGACCCAAGGTTCATAGAGACTTATGTCGCGCGGGAATTTCAGACTCATCGGGGGGCTTCTATCCAAGGCAAGCACGTGATGCACCTCATGGCAGCTTGGAGAGATCAGGGCCATAAACCCCACACGGTAGACCAAACTCCACGTAGCGGTTGCTTTGGAAACGCTACATACTTCAGGACGCTCGCAAACTTCATGAGCACCGCCTACTGCTTGTCTGGAAAAGCCAAAAGCTTTGGTCAAGTGTCATCGCCTGGGCGCCACAGCCCAGAGCCTCAGTTCGAAACCGCCCACGCCAAAGTCTCAAGCCAGAACTGCTAAGCCCTAAACTTAGGCCCCAAACCCTACCTAAACCGTAAACCCCAAGCCCAGATCACATCTGCCGGCGCAAGCCCTATCCGCTTTCTTTTCGCAGCCTTAGTAGTAACCTTGTAGTTTCCTGATAGTGACCTTGTAGTATCCTAGTAGCAAGATTGTAGTAACCTTGAACTGATAATACTGCGGTTGATGATGCAGATCCTGCATTACCCATAATAGGGAATATACCATAATTCCCAAAGTTTAGGGTCCTTAAGGTAATGCAGGATTTATAATATCATCAACAGCAGTAACCTTGAACTGATAGTGCTACCTCCCTCCCTGGCCAGGAGCTCTGAACTCCTCCTGAAGCTTCAGCGAAAAACTCGGGCCTTCCGTTGAGGGTTGAATATACATACATATACATACATATATATATATATATGTACATAAACCTTAATACTTACCTATATTATTTTTTGGGGGGCTCCTTAGTAGAATTATAGTAGAATATACCCCCAGAGCCCGATTCTAATTGTTAAGGCCCCTGCCTTAGGGCTGGAGCTTCTCGGCATCGGGCTGCACGTTTCCCCAGCCTTCCCGTCGGGAGATTCTTCAGAACTCAAAATTCCTGAAGCCTAAGAATCTAATCCCCCGGAACAAAACTCGACATTTGTAGGGTCTAGGCTTCCACATAGGGGCTTATAAACAAGACCAGCGCTGTGTTGGGGCTCCTTGTCATCTTCAAAGTTTACTACACCCGACAACCCTGTTCTACGGTTGATGATATAAATCCTGCATTAAGTACTTGTGAAGGCCCCTATCTTACCCGAGGCGGTCATCGTCCTGGTTGACGCATACTGCAACTGCGCGGACATCGATGCCCGGGCTGAGGGGAGCACGGCGGACACAGGAAAGATGGGGAAGCCCAGTGACCTATGTTTAGGGTTGCGGGTTTTTAGGGTTTTTGTGGGGTTTTAAAGTTTAGGGTTGAGGGCTTTTAGGGTTTTTGGGGCTTACAGTTTAGGTGTAGGGATACGGGTCCTATGTGGGAGTCCCGGGAAGCCAGTATCTTTTTTGCTTGGGTCCAGGCTTACAGCCCAAGAACAAAACCCCGAAAGCCTGGACCAAAGACCCCCCTCGGCCGCCGCCATAACCCGAAATCCCAAAGCCCCAAAAGGCCCTCAAGCCCAAAACACCTGAAAGCCTAAACCGCCCCTGAGCCATCGTCGTCATCTCGAACACCTGCCTGGTGCTCTACACCATCGAGCTGGTTGTCATGGGCGTCCTCAAGGACGTTCTGCTGTGAGTTCAAAATAGCTGTGGGGTTTGGGGCATGTGGTTGGGTGTCCGTTCTCCATACTGCCACCATCTATGGGGTTGTTCTTGGATTTACGGGTTCCTGCGTGATGCTCAGAGATCGGAGTGTCGAGTTCTGGGTCGTGGGGCTGCGTCAGGGCATATCAGGGTTTGGACGCCAAAGCTGGAGCATTAATGCCCAAGACCTAAAACCTAACATCGGGGTCGCAATAACAGCCAGCAGTATCTCCGTACAGTCGCTGTTAACAATATAGCAACCAATCGTATCTCCTTATACATGGCCTCTGTTGTAACAACAATATGAAGCAACTCCGCACTCTAGTCTAGGCATTCAGGCCCCTACATAAATTACGGGGGCGAGGCCTGGAACCCGACGTAACCCAAGCTGGCATCAACGACTACTCATCTCCCAAGACTCTAAACCCCACTGTACCCACAGCCCTGGCTCCTAAACTCCAAACAGGGGTTTAGAGTTAAGGATGTAGAGTTTAGTGTTTAGACTCTAAACCTTAAGCTCTCGATCCTGAGCTGAAAATCCTAAACTCTCCGTAGATAGCTGAATAGCTCATTAGTGCCATGCATTCAGGATTTACGGTTTAGGGTTCCCCACAAGCCAGATGGATCGAACTTTTCGATGCCACGTCAGACCCTAAACAGATCAGTTTGGAGTTTTGGGTTTTAGGTTTTACGGTGTAAAGACTGTAAAGATGTGAATCCCGAAGTTAAGAACCCCTGCCAAGTCCAAGATGGGTGGGGCCGGCCTATCATCTTTGCCCTGAGCCCTAAACCCTAAAGCCTAAACCGTGCAAGCCAGGGCAACCGCTACTTTGCGGATGGCTTTGTTCTGCTGCTTGGCACGTTTGAGGGCGTTGCGTTTTTTACACCCATCTTGCCAAACCACCCACACGAACCTTCCCTGTACTAAATACTGACCCTATACTAGCCTGTAAAGTGCCCTTATATTAGCCTTAAGAGCTTGGGCTTTCGCTTTGGAGGTTTGAGATCTTTGGATTTGTAAAACAAAAAGAAGTTTGGGTTTCTCACTCAGGCTTCAGGCTTGTGGGTTGTAGGAGTTTGGGGTTTAGGGGTTAGGGGTTGTTACATTTTAGGTCGATGTGTTTGGCTTCTAAGGTTGGAACAGCAGATTAAGCCCGTGAATGCGGTTGTGTCACTGGTTTGTCTTGTCTTACCATAGGCAGCCTTATTCTTGTTTCTGCCATTACTGATGTTGTTGCCATCTACTTTTTGTACGACGGCGCTGCTTGCATCGTTCCCATTATGGTCAATACCACCTCATCTCGCGCATCGGTATGATTTTCCAGAGTTTCTACAGCGGTTTCGTCCGGAGGTTTCCCGGCCGTACGCTCCTCTCTGTAGTTAATAGGGTATGAAGGGCATGCACGAGAACCGAGTGCCGAATCCCGGCACCAAGTGCAACCAGAATGCTGAACGACAAGAAGGATTCCATAGAATGATGAAGACTACTGCAACAAGAGAAGCCATATCTATAGCAACAACAGTAGCAGCAATTCTGCAGCTGCTGCTACGAGCCGTTGTCATCATCGCTAGCTAGCAGCACCAGTAGTAGTAGTAGTAGTAGTAGTAGTAGTAGTAGTAGTAGTAGTACTCGTAGTAGCAACAGTAGAAGAAGCAACAGCAGTAGGTCCTAGGTGGCAGCAGCAGCAGCAGCAGCCGGAGCCGTCGTTGTCGTGATGGTGGTGGTGGTGCTGGTGATAGTGGTGGTGGCGGCGGTTGTGATGGTGGTGGCACTGATGGGAACGCGCTGATTTTGATGGCTCTCCTTCAAGGAGTCGTGATAGCAGCTCTTGGCAGGGCTTTTTTGCAGGATAGAACAATGCCACGAGAGAGCTTCTGGACTGCCCTACTCTGCAATCGCAAACTCGAAACCCCAAAGCAAACTGCCGAAACGAAGGGAGTGGAGTTTAGGGTATGAATCGCTGTACCGAAAATATTCTGAGCCACCTTACACACTGCACATCACTGCACCCTGAACTGTGAAATCTTTGCATCCCGACCGACGTCCCCGAATTCTGCAGAGCTCCAGAATGCTCGCTGGCTGCCAGGCTAGATCTTTTTGTGGTCATCTGTGGCTACACCGATCTTCGGCAGAATTTAAGTTTCACGGTTTGGGGCTTTAGCTTCCTCATCGTCCGAATTTTCGGCTTGGAGCCTGTCCACCCGCAAGAAGCACGAAGAGAAGTGTAAAGAGCACCTCTACTATATCTTTAGCCGCTCCCCTTTGAGTACCCGTAGCCGTAGCAAGTAACCTTATAATTTGTGACCTTACAGGAACCTTATAGCAACCTTAGCCTTATGGTACATCTAGTAACCTTGTAGTAAACCTTTCAGGGTAAGCTCCCTAAGCCCTAAACCCTAAACCCTAAACCTTTTAACAAGCAGTTCCTCTCGTTGTGAGCCTGAGGCAGGCGGACACGAAAGAGTCGAACCCAACTTTAAAAAAACCCTAAACCTTTCAGTAGGCTCGGCCTGATGGTACTACCCCGGAAACAGGAGCTCATCCTCAGTGCTGCAGACCCGGGCAATGCCTTCAGCAGCGTCGGTGGCCTCGGCAAGCTTAGAAGGTTACTACTAGGTTTTTAGGGTTTAGGGTTTTCAGGGTACAATAAAGGTTACTACAAGGTATTATAGGTGTGTTATCAGGGTACAATAAAGGTATTGCAAGGCCTTGATACAGGTAAGGGTACTGTAAGGGTACTCCAGGGCACTTTAAGGGAATTACAAGGGCACCGGTTTGGATCAAGGGCTAGGCCTGGGGGGAGGTTTGGTGTAGGGCTTCGGAAACCACCGCCAGATGGGCTTAGTAGCGCAGCTAGCAGCCGCAAGTTGCACTTGAAAGGCTCCGCAACCTAGCCGCCACATCAAGCAGACGTGAGCCGCACATCCGTCCCGCGACACCTCGAGCCTTTCAATCCCCCTTCACTCCTTTCCTAAACCACAGAATCCAACAGAAAGCTGGAAGGTCATCAGCCATGCTCGTGGCGTAGGGTTTTGGGGCTAGGACCTAGGGTTTCGGGTTTGGAGGTGTGCTCCGTGTCTTGCGGCTGGTGCGTATCATACGGCTGCTGAGATGCTCGGCAACGGACTTGGCCCATATAGGGGCCTTAATAATTAGAATAGGGTCTTGGTGCCCATTATACTAGCTATAGTAAGGAACCCCCAAAGTAGCGTTGGTAATTTGTTTCGGCCCCGACTTTCAGGACTCAGGCTCCTAGGGCTTAGCACTCCAGGGTTGAAGGCCCCTACACTGGGGCCTAAGGTCTTGGGGCTGTAGTCTGGCGGGTGGGATTTCAGGTCACGGAAGCAACCTAAAACTCTCCTAGTCTCGAGCCCTGACGGTCTGTTACCGTGAAGCAACTCTCCACTCTGACTACTGTTGATAATACAAATCCTGCATTACCTTAAGGACCCTAAACTATGGGAATTGTGGTATATTTCTCATTATTGGCAGTGCAGGATTTATATCATCAACCGTATTTCTTTGACCATGCCCATCTCATGCCAACCGTAAGCCCAGCCATGAAACCTCTGAGCCCATCCTAAACCCCCACTACACAACCCTAAACCCCCTACAGCCTTGAGTCCTCCAACCCCTACACCCCCAACCCCAAGCGCCCCCAGACATTCTTCAAATTGAACAAAAGACCAAAACCCCCTAAACAAAACAAGGCCTAAACCCTAAACCCCACACCCCTAAGCCCCAAACCCTCAACCCGCCAAGAATACGGGTTTTTGGCTTTCATGCGGATGTTTGCACAACAGCCCGAGGTGATCCAGAAAGCATGGAAGTTGTCCACGCAAGCAAAGACTTTTTAATTTTTCAAGGGACAGCAAAAGGGATCGTTGGTTTGTTCCAGAACCTTCTTCACGAACTGGACTGTGCCTTTTGGGCTGATGGAATCTCACGAGCACAGTTCCTGCAGCGGGATAAAATCTTGCCCCAACTCCAGCAGAAGAAATACTTGAACGATTTTTCCTCTCTGTCAGTGACTCGCAGCCAATTCCGGAAACATGCAGATGTATTTAATGTTGGAGGGCTGTATCAACAAGATGGGGCTCGGTGCTGTGTGTTTGACAAATTCTGGCCGAAGGATATGACCCGAAACATTGGATTTGTCATTCGGACAGTGACTCTTTTGCAACAACGGCGAAAATACTGTCGTAGCGTCGGTGCCTGAACACGTGACTCTGCTGCGAAACCGTGTTCGTCAGCAGCTGCAAAATGATGTGACTTTTCTGCGAAGCCTCATGGGCTAGTTCTGAACCGCTAGTTTTTTCAATCGATGCCTGCTGTCCACTGACACTGCAATTGCCATGTCGGTAGTCGCACGTATTCGTTCCGGGTTCTACGTCGACGGATGTGCCTAAACCCCGACCATAAACCACAAAAAGCCCTGAACCCCAAACCCCCAAGCCCTAAACCCCGCAAATACAGCACCAAATCTCTGAACCTTAAACACAGAAAAGCCCTATACCACAAACCCTAAGCCCCAAGCCCTGAACCCTAAGCCCCAGAACCCAAGCCCTAAACCCTAAGCCCCAAAAAAACCCTAAACCCCCCAAAACCGCCCCAAAAAAACTTTAAACCCCCAAACCCTAAGCCCCCAAACTCGAAGCCCCAAGAAACCCTAAACCCCCAAACTTGAAGCCCCAAAAAACCCTAAACCCCCAAAAACCCTAAAACCCCCAACAACCCTAAAAACCCCCAAAAACCCTAAGCCCCAAACCCTGAACCCTAAGCCCCAAATCCTAGGCCCCAAAAAACCCTAAAACCCCAAAAAACCCTAAAACCCCAAAAAACCTTAAGCCCCAAATCCCCTAAACCCTAAGCCCCAACTCCCCAAAAGCCTCCACGAGGACTGCTCCGCAGGACCCGCGCCCTCCGAGAGCTCCAAAAGCTCGTGGCTTGCCTTTGGGTAGTTACGGTTTAGGGTT